AAGTACAACTAAAAATTATATGGATTCTGTGATCTGATGTGGTTCATAATATTGTTTCTTGTGATTTGTTGTGGTTCATAATATTGTTCAAAAAGGTAATATTGATATGGTTAGATAGAGCTGTTCACGTTATATTTAATTTATATTTAGTCAATATGTTTCAATGCGGTACTTCATTTTATATTTGTTTTTAAGACTAATTTTTGTGTATTTAAATACAGATATATGGTGTAATTATAAACTTAGTTTAATATATATGATTATTAGAGAATAATTCTTTTCAAATTTAGTTTAATTTATACGATTATTAGTAGAATAATTATTTTCAAATTTAGTTTCTACTTAGGTCAATTTATATGGTCTATTCAATATGCTATTTTTATATTCAATTTATATTCAAGTTAAAATATACGTTCCATTGTACTTATTCTTTTACTATTTAGTTTAAATTAATACGGTATACAATTTAGTTTAAATTAATACGGTATACAATTTAGTTTAAATTAATACGGTATACTATTTAGTTTAAATTAATACGGTATACTATTTAGTTTAAATTAATACGGTATACTATTTAGTTTAAATTAATACGGTATACTATTTAGTTTAAATTAATACGGTATACTATTTAGTTTAAATCAATACGGTATACTGAAAATACTTGTATTATATTAAATCTGGTTGTACGATCTAGTGATGGTCCTCGTTTTGTCTGCGGTTGTTTTTTTACGTATAATGCAATATTTGTTATAGCTCTTGTTTATATTTAAATTACGTTTTTATGATGTGGTGCAGTTCGTCATAATTTATCTTATATTTATCTTATATATGAAGTTTAAAAAATGCTTTGTAAAAATATTATTCTTTTTACATTTAATTTACTTTTAGATGGTTTAATTAAATTATTCGTTTTTTATAAAAACATAATATTATAAGCTTACTATTTTTATTATACATAGGGCACAGCACCGGTAGTATTGTAACAAACAGCGACAACAAACATATAGTATAATAAAGAAAGTACGCGCAAAATTACATACAAAAAGAGTATGCTATTATTTCGCTGTTGGAGCTATTACTTATATGGAACCATCAGACCGTAATAATCTTAAGAGAAGGAAGATATGTATTATATAAGTCCATTATATGTAGCTATAAACTGCTAGATAAATTATAAGCTGCTAGATAAATTATAATCTTTGGGCAGTTGTTCAGTATTGAGAGGTGGTGTTCATGGTGGGAGTACACTAATAAAAGTAAAAAAAATTTTTTTTTTTTACTTTTATTATTTAACCAATATAATCATCGCAGATTTCGAGTTTTTAGTTGATTTAACTAAATAAAAAAAGCTTCACATGTTAAAACCTGTTTATAATGTATCGGTATAAAATAATTTTTATTTTCCCCCTAGCAACGCTTTGTTTATCCCGTTGTTATGCGCTTCAAAAACAAGTTAAAACCATAAAAAGGTGCAGGTGAAACATCAAGAGACATTATGTGTAGCTTTGATGGTTTATGGCAAAAGCGTGGTTTTACTTCAAATAACGGAGTTGCTTCTGCAATTTCAGTTGTAAGTGGTAAATGTATTGACTTTCAAATAAAAACAAAAACATGTAAATTATGTTCAATATTGAAGTTCAAAAAATACACACATCCAGTTGAATATGAAAAGTTCCAGTCATCTCATTTCCAAAAGTGTAAAATTAGTCATACTGGATCATCATCGGCTATGGAATCAAGTGGTGTTTTAAAACTTTCTCATCGTTCTGAAAAAAAAAAAACAATTCAAGGTATACCACATATCTTGGTGACGGAGATAGTAGTTCTTATACTAGTGTTGTTGCTGATAAACCTTATGGACATAATGTAGAAATTATAAAAGCAGAGTGCATTGGTCATATTCAAAAACGAGTTGACACGCGTTTAAGAAATTTAAAAAAAAGCAGCAAAGAAATTTTAAGTGAGGGTAAAAAACTAGGAGGAGCAGGTCGTTTGACAGAAAATGTTATTAACACATTGCAAAATTACTATGGCAAAGCAATCAGACAAAATATTGGTAGTTTATATGCAATGAAAAAAAGTGTAGCAGCTGTTATTTTTCACTGTTCTGAAAGTTATGACAATAAAACACACCATCATTTTGTTTGCGCACCAAGGATTTTTGGTGCGAATTCCAGCCTGATAAAATAACTGAAAAAAAACATACAAAGAAAATATTTGTATTCCTGCTGCTGTGAGGGATTTTATAAAACCAATATTTATAGATCTTGGTAGTGATGTTCTTTTAGAAAAGTGTTTGCACGGAAAAATACTGAATCCTAATGAGGCGCTGAATCAATTGATTTGGAAGCGGTGTCCCATAGATATATTTGTAGAAAGAACTGCTTTATGTGTTGGAGTAGCATCAGCTGTCCTATACTTTAATAATGGACTACAATTTTTAGAGACGTTATTTGATAAGCTTGAAATAACAGTAGGTTGCAATCAACATTACTTTTGTCTTATAAATGACTCTAAGCGCATTTCTAAAGCAGAAAAACAATGCACAAGTATAGTGAAATTGAGACACAAGAAACTAAGAGCTATACAAAAAGGTTTTTGTGATCAAAACAAAACATTAGAAGGTGCAGTTTATGGAAGTGGGGAGTTTTGAACAATTTTTTTTTGTTTTTATTTTTAAATTGAGTTTTTCTCAAAATCATGTTTTATACTCTGGCGACGGAGATATTTTTCAAACCGATAACCGATTTGATCTGAAATTTGGCTACTAGAATATGTTTACAGCTAATTGTGTTCTACTTTTGTGAGTGATTTTGTGTTCTCAAATAACACCAAAACTTCCAAATATGACTAAAATGCATATATTTTGACTTTTTTTGGTCAAAATCCAAAACTTTTAGTGTATGTTGTTATTGCATAAGTAAAGGATCACAAGCCAAAATTTCAGTTCAAATTTATTTACGGTTGCTGAAAAAACCCTGTCGCCAGTTATTCATTTTTAGGCTTTTGTCTGTCAATAATTATGCGCTTAATTAATTTTTTTAACTTTTAAAGTTTTTACTTATATTTTAATCATGTTATGCACTATTATTAATTGAAAAAAAAGTTAAATTGCAAGATTTTTTTTTAATGGTATACTACCACCTTAAGAGGGGAGTATTACTCAGTGAGCTAAAAGAGTGTTGTTTGACTTAGATGAGTGTTGTTTCAGTTTTAGGTAAGTGTTGTTGTAATGTTCTGTAAGTATGTGTAATTTATTGTACTTTTTGTTTGCAGTGTTCTAAATGTTAAAGTTTTGTGTGTCATTTAATGATTTTATTTGTATGAATCAGTATGTTTGTAAATACTTTGATTTTTCGTCTTATTTAGTTTTAGTGTTTTTATGTTCTTTTTGATCGTATTCTTTCCTATTTATTTGTCTCGTCTCATCATTAGGGTTCTATTCTCTTTCCTTTACTGTAATTTGTTTTTCTTTTTTGTCTTGCTTATTACTTTGACGTCTTTTTTTCTTTCTCTCTAGGCCTTTGATGTAATTTTGCATTTTCAATTTGTGATTTCGTATTTTCTACTGTAGTTATAGGTTGTTGGGTCTTATCCCCAGTTTATATTTTATAATTAATACTGTTTCAGTAAAAATATTCGTTTTACCCATAAGTTTCTATTTTATAATTGATACCTTGGTGTACATATTCGTTATACTATACTACAAATAATACCTTTTTAGTATCCCTATTCGATTTACACCCCGTTTTTAACTTATATTGCTTTAGTGAAGAACTAATTTTAGTGAAGAATTAATTTTAGCCTTAATTGATATTCCAAAATTTTGGGTTACGGGTTATGAAATTTAATACTCCTTATGTTGATATTAGTTGTCATTTAGGAGATTATATCCTTATGTGGCTCAAGGTGGGTTTTAGGGGGTTGTATTCTTATGTCGCTTTAGGTGGATTTTAGATTTTTAAAAAAATTGAGTAGTGATGTGTTAGAATTACTTTAAAAGATCTGTTTTACAACATATGTTTTTAAGACAAACGAGATTTTGAGGTTTGTTGCTACTTTTGTAAGGACTATTTGGCGAGTGCAGTACAGTTATAGCGACACAATTCGGTTCACTGGTGCTGGGGTCGGGAAGTGTGATGCTTGTTGGGTAGTCTAATAAGTTCCTTATATAATTTATAGAGAGAATTATGTATGTCTAAAGTTATATACATAGTGTATAACATATGTCCGATATGTATAAGGCTAAAGTGATTAAAATAATCAATTACAAGTAAATTAGTAGTAAAAATCATTGTAATATAAAAGTAAATAAATCGCGGGGAAGGTGCCGCGCGAGTGGAGTTCGGGGTTGAGGTCATCAAAATGATCGAAAGTTGTGGTATGTGACAAACCTTCATCTCATCAGAGCCATGTCGGAATGTCTAAGCTTGTTTCGAAGAAGTTAAAGTACTAAAACAACTCAATGGCCTACAGCTTATTTACCACGTGTGGTTTGGTATGTGATGAACTCACACCCGAGGAGTCTCTTATTTTATCTGGTGTGCGTTTTAATTGTTAAAAGGTCATACAAAATTAGTGTTGATCATTATATTGTAGGTATAGGGTATTGTAAAAATAGATAAAAATTGATAAAAAAATCTTAGGGGGATTGGGTACAGGACGGTGGGTTCATGACTAAACGCATGTGTATATGTATATATGCATACAGAAACGTAGTAATATAAACATCTACATACCCGGTACAAATAAAGTGCATATGTATATATAAATAGATATACATCCACTCAATTTTGAGGTAACGAAATTAAGTTAAGGAGGGTTAGGTACGAGAGAATAGATTTAGACGTGGGTGTATGCACATACATTCACACGCCCAGTCTCTAAAAGTGTAAAAATTAAATGGTGCCCATTGGCACCATTTAAATTAATTTTTGTTAGTTTTAAATAGTTTTAATAGATTTATCTTTTCAAAATGACAGGCTCAACTAGTAACTTGGTTAATTATGATTGGTTAAATATTACTGATAGCATTTAATATTTTATTTGACAACTTTTTAAAATGTTCTTTAAATATAAAAACATTTGATGAAATTGTTCTCGACTTCCATCCAGGCACGTAAAAGAAACTATGATTGCATTTTCATCATCCAGGTGAAACTGCCTTGTTGTACCAACTTTACATAAAAAATAGAATAAATATGAACAAGGAAAATCATTTCCAAAATACTTTACAGGGTTTTTAAATTCTTTTGAATTGTCAGAGTGTAAAGTTAAACAATTTGAAAATATAAAATCGTCTTTACTTGAAGTCCCATCAATTATTATGGTTTTTTGTACAAAGTTATTACTATTTTTCATCTGCTGCGCTCTATTATTAAACATATCTAAATCAAGCATAGCAGGTTGAGCATTTCTTTCTAGCGCAGTGTTCCTTAAATCGAGCACAGTAGGTGCAACATTGTTTTCTGTCAGAATGTTCGTTTTATCAAGCACAAAAGGTGCTGCAACGCTTTTTCTTTCAAAGGTGTTCGTTAATAAAAACATTTTATCATATTCATCATTGACTAGGTTCACTTTTGAAGGAATATCTTTGTCAAAACCTTCATTAAGCTTTCTTTTTTTCTGCCGTGTATGAATCCAGGTATTTTGAAAAGCCTTGCCTTTTATTTCGTATGGGACTTTATTTAAACTAGTTATACTCTCAGAATTTTCATTGTCTTCCAAAATAAGCTAAAAACAATTAAATAATATTAATAAATGCGTGTTTTTTGATAAATCAAGTAGTAAAAAAATAAGTTGACTATTTAAAGTATGTCCTTAGTCCAAAATACTGCACCAAACCCAAAAACCTCATAGCTAACTGATTTTTCAATAAACGAACATATAAAAATATAGTAAATAATAAAAAATTTGTTAAACAGTAAAAGTATTCCAAGTTATTTTTTTACTAGTAAATAATAAAAAAATAGTTTTATATATTAAAATATAATATTAAACATATTAAAACATAAAACATCATCGGAGCAGGACAAAAAAAAAAAAAAAAAAGGTTCTGACTTGAAGTTGGTGAAGTTGGTAACGAATAATTTTTATAACTTGCAACATGCTTGATTGAACATTTTCTGAAGGACTGGAGTGTTCGACAGGCTGTATATTATTGTCTTTATAGAATTGGTTAGAGAGTTTAACAAAAAAAGGTTTGCATTTCTTTCGAGCATGATTTTTTTTCAGATATACAATAGTCTAAAAAAATATGTAGTCATTAAAATTATCAAGTACCACGTGTACCAAGTACCATGTGACAGTAAAACATATTGTAAAATAAATAAAACCATATTAAAAAAATTGAATAAAATATTAATGAAGCCAAGTTTTTGATATCCCACAATAAATAAGTTCTTACTATTCAATACATTTTTAATAAAAAGATTTTTAATTTGTTATACTTTGCACAGCACACACAAGTCCTCAATGAATTCAAGATTGATGAAAATGTCAACGAAAACTGTTTGCAAATCCACAAAGGACTTTGCTTGTAGATCACAAATTTGTTAATATTAAAATCTAAACTGCTTGTTCAATTTTTTTCAATTACTTTCGAATAAACCATTTTTACCAAAAATGTAAATGTCTGGTTTAAATATACTTGACAGCATAACTAAATCATTTGGTATTACTTTCGGTATACTTCGGTAATTGAAAGAATTTGGTATTATTAAATTAAGTATAAATCTGCGCAGATATTTTAAAGTATGTTTGTTTTACTGTTATATTTCAGTATTAAATGTTATATATATTTTAAAATATACATATATTAATATTCTTAATTACACATAAGTAAGTTTGGGAAGTTGTGTACCTGAGAACACACACACTTTGCGTTTTACACTCGACATCAGTTTTTGCACGGTGTTTGGCTGGACTTTCTTGGTAGCTCTAATCCATCTATTTTTTAGGTCTTGGATGTATTTAACTTTTTTCCATTGAACTTTATTTTCCATTGACAATAGCTAAATATCTTTTGATAGAATCGGGCCGAAATAACGGATTACTCATGAGATCTTAAAAACTTCAAAAGACGCATTCTTTGATGTATATTTCAGTGTTAATTGTTCCTGTAGTCACAAGATAAGAGCTTCTTTCACCGCATTCACAAATTGCTTGCCAAACTAAGAACTTTTGAACAAATTTTTGCATCCCAATGTATTTATATTTGGTATTCAGTTTCTTGTAATTAATTGTTAAACAATACTGATGTCCTAGAAGCGATCGGATTTATGCAACAGAATATGTTTTATCGATAATCAAACAAGATTTTTTAGTTAGTTTAGTCATAGTTTTTTATAGAGCAGCTATGAACGAGAAATTCCAACATTTTCTTGCTTTTCTTTACGGCAAGTAACTTTTTTCTTTTTATAAGATTCAGAGCCACAATTTTTCTTCACTCTTTGTATAGTGGATGCAATTATCTTAAAATTTATTTGCTTAAGTTTGAACAAAAATCTCCGGATTTTTAAGATATCTTTCACTTTCTTCCACATCCTGATTTCCTTTTGATAGTACCAGTGCCCTTAAATAGTTTCACAATGCTCTCAAACTGTTCTCAAAGCAATCTGTAATTTTTTAGAAATTTTTTTTGTTTAAGACACCAGCATTATCAACGATAAAATACAAATATTTTTTTTTGAAATTTATCTTGATTTGATGACATTTTAATTAAAACTAATTATTTTGAAACCAGAGTTGTTTAAAATTTGAATAATACTAATGTAATGAAATATTAAAACAATTAGCTACTCGGTGTAGTTAAGGCGATTTACAAAATATTTGAATTCTTTTATTTGGAACTAGCATGTTTTTGTCAGCATATTATGCCCAAACAAGATCTTTAAATGTTATAATTTCTTTTGCTTCAGGCTTTTATAATATTTAAAGAAACCTTTCTTTTTTATATATAATTTTTAAAATCTTTTTACTACCTGTAATAATGTATCTAAAGAACACTATTTTGGAGTCTTTAGATCGATTCCGCTCATCGGCATTAACTTGAATTTAGTTAAAATCTTTAAAAAAAGTTTCTTTATTTACTACTGATCCTAGTTGTAATCGGTTCTGACGTATATTAACTTTATATAGTTGTCAAAACACAATATTTCTATCAATATTTACAAAAAATACTGGAATTCCGACCAAGAAAGAGCTTATAATTATGGAAAATTGCCAATAAACGATCAGAACAGATAATAATGTTAAACTATAATGTTCATTTCACCTAAAAAACGTATTAATATAAAATCTTATTTAAATTTGGACGAGCGATTGTGATTTTAAGATGATTTTTTTTTTTTAAAAAGATTCCACGGTCTGGTTTTTTTCGCTACAAACATTTATATTTTATGATACCGCAAAATTTGTTATTTTAATTTTTTTCGTCTTTTCATAATTCACAGACCAGACCATTTAACAGAAATATGTCGTAGTCACCAAAATATCATACAGACGCTATAATATTTTAAAAGTGCCTTAACTACACCGAGTAATTAAAGTAACCCACGGTTTCCGTACAACACCACACCAAAACACGCGCAGATTTTTTCTGGTACATGTCTTAGTACTTTATTTAACTAAATTAATAAAAATATGAACTTTTATCAACTAAAAATGGTTGGAATGATAACAAAGGCAAAAATAAACAACTCTAAAGTAAACATCAATTATTAATTATTTATCATTTACATCTTTATTATTTGGCAAATAATAAACATTATAAATAAACAAGTTTTTTTTTTGATTTTTAATACTCATATGATTTTGAGAATATGCCAAACAAATATGCAAATCATGAAGTACTGAGATTAAAAGTTTAACATGGAAAAAATATATATATTAAAATGAATTCACAACAATTTGCAACAACAAAAAACTTAACAAATAAAAAACCACAAAAATTTTGATTTTGACATTTTTAATAAGAGGGTATTTAGCAAATACCCTCTTATTAAATGTGGTACCTGCAGAATAACACTAAATGAGCATAAATAGAAGATTGCCAAAAACGACAAACTATGAAGACATATTACTGATAAATGATACTAGAAGTAGAGGAGATGTGTTACAGCAAGGTATATTGGTTATTAAACCATTGTTAAAAAAAGGGGTTATAAAAAGCTTGACCTCACACATTACTGAAGACAATGGTTTACTTGTATGTATTTAGGTGCTCCCAGAAGTCCTTGCGGTCTTATCATAGAGCACCGCGGGAGGGCATTTAACAGGAAGTTCACGCGTCCTTCCGTACCAATGTCGCTTGTTGGGCTAGAGATGGCGCCAAACCTCGGACCTCTGGGTTGTGAGCCAGAACTCTAACCACTGCGCCACGGCTGCTCTTTAATCACACTGAAATTGCTTGTTGTACTACTCCCATCAACCTTGCAAGTTCTTCTTGCATTTGACAAAAATCTTTGTTGAGTAATGCTTTAATTTATCATATTTAAATTTTTGTGGCCTCTGCAAGCTTTGTCTTCATTTTTTAATCATCACTTTTATCGTGTTTTAAAATCATTTTTTCATTTTTTAATCATCACTTTTATCGTGTATTAAAATCATCACTTTTAAAGTGTTAAAGCCAATCAGTAGATTTTAAAAAGAACCACAAACTTCCATAAGAATGACTTTCCACAGTACTTTTTTTCATTGAATACTCTTCTCAAAAACTTTTATAAATGAGATTAAAAAATGTTGTTGAAAAAAAAAAAAAATAAAACAATAGACTGCTGTTACACACCATTTAGGATTTAAACATGACAGATGTTGCGTTAAAATCCAATGGGAGCGTGGATTTAAACATCTGCCATGTTAAAATCCATGCTCCCAGTTGATTTACACATGGCAGAGGTGAAGTTATATTGATCATAGTAAGTTCTAAAAAATTACAACTAGCTGAAGTTTTTAATTGATAACAAATTTATAGTTTTTGTAAAAGTGTACAGTTGAATATATATTTTATGAATTAATGGCTAAAAATAAATTTAATTAAAAATCTTGGATAAGCGAAACAAAACAAACAGCTCAGATTTTAGTTTAAATAGGTATACATAAAGTTCTAAAAGGATCCGCAAACAGCTTCTGTTGACATTTATAGTGATTTTGAATTTATTGAGGGCCACTGTGTACATTATACTGTGCACATTATAACTTCATAAATTGTTTTTAAATTAACAGAGAATAATTTTCAAGTTAACAAAGAGTATGTTCGCTTAAACCAAGGTTAGGTTTAACCCTAGTTTACCATAACCAAGAATTTTTATTTCAACAGAAAATATTGCTAAAAAAATATTGATAATAACTTTACAAATCCTAATTGTAAAATTCATTAATATATATATATTTTTTTAATTTTTTTTATCTTTTAATGTTTAAAAGTCAGTATTTTTTTGTTGTTTTTTTTTTGTGCAAATTTGTCTTTAAGCCATTTTAAATACTCTTTTTCGACTCATGTGAAAAAACCATCAAAACAAAAACTTGAAATTTATAAAATGTTGAATTTTTTTTTATAGATTGATGAAATAAAAACACATTTCAGTCATAACAACACTTCTGCAATTTGATCTATTGAAATTATATCTATTGAAAATACTACTATTTAAAAATAAGAAGAAAAAAAACTTACATCTGGGAAATAATCAGTAAAAGACCATGCTAAACCCCATCTCATCGTGCGCCCTTGGACAAATTCTGTTGTTGTAAACTTTGATATCTATTGATAATTAGCAATAAAATTCAAGTAAAACACTACTAATAGAATAATTGCAACAACAACAAAAAACCCATAGGCAACTAATGTTTTGTTTACCTACAGCTGGAGCCAAAAAACTTATTATCTGGAAAAGAATATAATGTAATCAACACAATATAAATTTATGCATATATTTGCTAATATTTACTGCGCTACACCTATAGCTATATCAATCAATGTATGCACATTTTTTATACACACTAACACACACACAGATATACAGATATATATATACATATATATATATATATATATATATATATATATATATATATATATATATATATATATATATATATATATATATATATATATATATATATATATATATATATATATATATATATATATATATATATATATATATGTATATGTATATATATAAATTAGTAAAAACACTTATCTAAATATCTTCTACTGTTTCCCACTTAACCATGAACCTGCTGAAAAGGAAACAAACTATAGAGGATATTTAGATTAATTCTTTTTACTAATTTATTATTGTTTTGTTCTTTAAGAACATTGAGCACTCTATTTGTAGAATACACTAACTTAACTTACTAATTTATTGGATATCCCAAATAATTTAAAACAATCTGATTTTAATAATAGATTAAAGCCTGAGCCTAGATTCTAATTCATCTCTAAATGCAGATGATAAATATTTTGATTGTAGATAATAATAACTCACAACTTTCCCAAGTATGAAATGAAAGTATATTTTGCAAACAGTAATTATACTTTTTAAAATACCACAATGAGATGTCACCTAAAACATCTAGAGCATGTTGACTTGGATAATTTAGTATTTTTTCTAGTATAAAGAAATGTTTTGCAGTTACACAAAACAAAATTCATCCTGTCAATGTTTCTAAAAGTAAACTTGTTTACTATTTAATAATTAACAACTTATGCAAGTAACACTTTAAAACAAATTGACATTAATAATTTATACTAAATTGTTTTCACAGAAGAACTTAAAAAACAGATATTGATCTTTTCTCTGATTACAAACATATGAAGTAGTGGTACAGCTGTAAAGCACTTGTTTTTTTGGTAATCCCTACCACATCTCTACCATGTTTGAGAGAGAACTGTAACAATTAAAAAAAAAATGCCCTAACATTGAGATGTCCCAACCTCAGAACCATATTGATAGACATTACTTACTCTTATGATACTTTTTAAATTTTTATTTGAAATAAATATTTGTATGATAAGAACTGTCATATTTTCAAAAAAAAAAAAATTAGTCTTAAAATTTTTAGGCTTTTAAAAGTATCACTATAAAGTTGAGGTATTACCAATAGTGACTCCTTATTGTGATATTGGATATCAATAACATTGTTGTGAAGCATTGGCATATTATTAGAGATGACCCCTATTTAGCAGATATATTTCCATTGATACCCACACCAACCTATTTCAATAGAGCATCGATTAAAGCTATTTTAATACATTTGACCCATGTATAATGTGTACATAAGAAGTTTAGACCATTTATTAAAATATACATTTTAGTAATTTGATGTTTAAATATGTTACATATCTGTTTATTTTTAACACGTCATTATCTTTGCATTAGTCATACAGCCATATATCTATTTTACTTTTTTTTATATATATCTATTTTACTTTTTTTTATATATTTATTTACGTTTAGATCATTTTTTAGGCTCTTATTATTTTTCTTGATATTAGTTTTGTTTTCAGTTTCACATCTATCAGCTACAGTAATAAGCTATGCACTTCTTAAAAAAATTTTTTATTTACTTATCGAATATGGTAAGATACTTACATATATTTTACTTTTTATATCCTTATGTGTGTTTATACTAAAAAAACTTTTTTTACACTTAATATTACTGTTTATCATTAGGAATCGCCCATAAATTACATAACGCGAAATTAAACTTATAGACAAAAGACAAAGGATTAAAAGTTTTCCATTGCAGAGTCTTTTATTAAACAAAGTATATAAACAACTTTTCAAGTCCAGCAAAAACTGCTGCACAAAAGAACAAAATGATCTCAAACTTATATTTTTAAAATAATTTTTCTGTTGCATAATTTATGGACGATCCCTTAGTAGATTTATGATATATACTTTTTGTGCATGTTTGTCTCTATATATCCCATTTTTTCTAAAAATTATAGGTGTTGCCTAAATTTGGTAGGAGTATGGGTGAGTATGAGTATGAGTGGCTTTTCAGTAGTGAGGTTCATTTTATTGCAATAATGACTTATATGTAGGCAGCAGGCGATGATAGAGATAACAAGGATGCATCCCTGACGAGTGATGCTAGCCATTTTTATTAGGCTCTCGGAAACATCGTTGGTGAATATAGTATGGCCCTGAGGATAGAGTCTTTTGTTTTATGTTGTTTTTATGTTTATGTTGTCATTTAATTTTATTGTTTATTTTATTATTTTATTACGTTTATCATCTTGTTTATATGTGAACATCTATAGCTTTATCGGTTAGAGTGTCGACCTGGTAACCATTGAATTTCATGTTCGATTCCTGCTCTGAGCGTATTATGTTTAATTTAGTATTTTTACTTCGCTTTTTTATACCTTGCATGCTGGTTATGATTTTCCATTTAGTATCTGAGTTTAATATTTCTATTACATGCACAATGTTTATATAGTCATTATTATTTTTTTAATATATACTTTACTTCAGTATCTTAGTTTTGGTCTGAACATCTGTTCATAATGCTTTTTTATTTTATTTTTTTATCCTTACTCTGTTTCTAATTTTTTCCTAATTTCACTTGCGCTTGACAGCTCGGTCTAGTCCTTTGGTGCATTTTTAAAATTATTTATGTTGGGACTAGGGAGCTATGACTATTTTCCATACTAGACTTTTATACACAGCCTTTACATTTTTTTTTTTTTTTGGTTTATCACTTTTTCTATTTTCTTCATATTTTATATTTAAATTATTTTCTTTATTTATCTAAATTGGTGTTGCTTTTTATGTCATTATAGTATATTATTCATGAAAATTTTATCACTATTTGATTTTTAGTTTAATTATCACTATTACTTACAACTATGACTAAAATACATAAATACAGTCACATACATAATTGCTGTTTCCACAGGAGAGTGCTTTTGTTTCTGGTACATATCTGAGCTAACTTTTAGAACCAGAAGATAACATAAATCCTACATATGAATGCTACATCCATCAAAGGTCATTTGTAGTATGGCTGGGTTGGCTAGATGTGTTTCGGGATTAGAAGTTTTCACACTGATTTCTAGTAATATAACAATAATACTTGACTCTATTGTTATTGGACATTCAATACTTTTTTCGACTACAATTGGTATATGTGTATATCTATGAATGTGTATGTATATAAGTATCATATTATTTTTCTGTTGAGAATATAATGCGATAATAATTTATGCTGTAAATAATTATATTTTCAATACTTATTACTGTCATTTTATTGTATACCTTTACTTTCAACTCATACCTTTATGACCAGATTCTCTTATATATACTACTTTCTATTCTCTGTTATTTTTTGCGTCCTAGAACAACGATTTATCTATATTTAACCCATCAAACGAACAAAGAATTTGTGCACCAATTTTGATGAAAAGTTTGTTTTTTCCATCAAGTCATGTAAAAAGCAATAAAGAATATAAATAGTTAATTAAAGTAGAAAAAGAAAAACTTACAAATCTATTTAATGAGAAACTAATAACTAATTTTTCACAATATGTTTTGTCTAATGTGGAACAACAAATCTTATACAAAGGTATTTCATTTATACCTTACTCGAATTATTTTTATGGTAATTTATTTAGTAAGGCAGTGGAGAGATTTAAACAATCCATTAATCTAAGAATGTTTTTTGGTAAAGATGACAAAGATCAATTAATTCACCCATTCCGCAAAAAATCACAATGGACACCACCAAATACAAATAACCAAAACATAAAAAAAATTTTTTACAGATTGATCGAGACATTGAGATAATTATGAAAAAAACCAAACCCAAAATTACAAACATCATCGGTAGAGTCTATAACATTAAAGAGACTACATAATAATAAGGATATCATATTCAAAAGAGCAGATAAAGGTGGTGGGGTTTGTATTTTAGATAAGGGACAGTATGAGAATAAAATAAACCAACTATTAAATGATACTAATACTTATATTTGTTTTTATTACATTTCTTTTATATGCGGGATGTCTAAATTATTATTATTTTTTACTACACGCTTTACTATAGTATCATTGTTTTTGTTCTGATCATCTGTTCAATATATATATTTAATTATTTAATCCTTTCTCTTTTCCTAAATTTTTATACACAGTAGAAGTTGTACATACGAAGGTATGTTATGTCGATACTTTATATGTAAAGTGAGATATAAAAAGATAAGAATTATTATCACTTTACAAGTGATAAAGTGAAAAAAAAACTTTAGTATTTTTAGAATAGCAATTACTAAGATGTAATTTTTAGGATAAGAAAGAATCATAGCCCCATGCTAATATAATTATACTAATATGGTTTTGAAAAAAAATGTATAAATATTTGTACACAGATATTAAATTTGAAAAAGAAAATGGTATCAGACTTGATATAAATAATGACCAAGACAAAAATTTGACAAGAAAATGAATGAACTTTACTCAGTGATCAAATTTACTCAGTGAACATAGTGCAGACCTCAGCGGGAAGCGAGAGCTTTAGCTCTCGCTCTTGCCCACACTCCCCTAAAACAGTTTACAGGAGCAATTTACGGCTCTCGCAAAAGTATAATTTTTCTCATGAAGGTATAATTAAAATTACAAAAGAGTGCTAATTTAAATGAGGAGCAGCTCGCACAGCTCTCCAAATTCGTTTTAGGAGAGCTTTTCTCAGCTCTCGTGCTCATTTGTTCCCGCCGAGGCCTGATAGTGCATCATTTTTTAGTAAGAATGAATCTAAATCTCTTAAAAAGCTCTCTGGTCCTATGTTATAATGTACACCTGTCACATTAAAATGCAGCTTTACATCGTGAGTAATATAAACTTGGCTGTTAAAGAATTCATTAAAACAATGACCTAACATTTCTTTTCTGCTTTTTGTCTGTAAGCAGGAGGACATAGAGAAACAGGTCAATACAAAAATTTGATACAATTAAAAAAAAAAAAAAATGCCTGCTTATTTGTAGACAGTAAATTGAAAAATATTATCAAAATAGAGAAAAGTAAAAAACTTAGAGTAAAAAAAAAAGAAACATAAAAACAGCAGTAAACAATAAAGAAAGTCATTTTAAAATGGATTTAATATATGGTTTTCAAAAAGAATTTATTGCAAAGAATAATACAAAAAATCTGAAACTAAAATACTTATCATTTAACATATTATAGACATAGACATATGCAACACCATTTATAGAAAATAATAATAAGATTGTTTCAAAAATGACTTCACTCTAATAGTCTAGTTTTATTTGACTCAAGTTTCAATAGTCTTGTTTTGTTAAACATTAACACTAAAATAGAACCTATATGGACTAAATTGATTTTCTTTAATCCAATTTTAAGTTGAAGATTAAATTTTCATTTACGGTTATTAAAAAACTAACAAAACATTTAGATTAATATTTGATCTACATCATGCCATTTTTTGTGCTAAACAAGCAAACTTTTTGGAAAAAAATATAGAAATCATTTTCAATTTCTTATAGAATACCTGATTATGTTTTATGTATTTAACTAATTCCTTTAAACTTGATTTTTTGCCAAGCATTGTTGTAAACCATCTAGAATAAAAAATTCAAAACTCTTTGAGTGTGCCCATTTTAAATTCTGTCGTCTAGGTTAATGTAACTAACAAAAATACTTTACAGCATAATATTTTACATAGATAATCTACAAATTACTAACATATCTCTCTTATAATTCTTGATTAATATTTTTTTATTATCTCTCATTGAAATTAGTAAATGTCTAAACTCTGTAGCTCAACTTAAATTTTTAACCTGTATTGGTAAAAGTAATATCAAAATCTTTAATCAGAATCAGAATCATTTACCTGATCCTCTTTTTCAATAATAAACTCTCATCAATCATTCTCTTTACAAATTCCACTTCTCCTCCTTCTGTGAAAGATTCACTATCACTTGCTGTTGATTGAGATATAGGTGGTGGACGATGACCAGTACGATTTTTTGAAATAATATTGTCATTAATTTCAGAAAAAAATGGCGGATTGCATATTGTGAAATCATAATCAAATTCTGAAGCCATTACGCAATCAAAAATAGATTTTTCTGGCGAAGTTAAGATTACTGAAAAAATATCAGTTATAACAAAATATATAAAAAATCAAACCAAAATAAGAAAATTTAGAAAAAAATTCAAAAATTTCAAAAAATCTTTCTTAAACCTTTGATATATTCTTGAGCAAGGTTTTTTATTACATTGTTTTCCGCATAAGCATGTGATTCAACATTTACTTCAGTTGCAATGAACTTCCAATTATTAATTTTATTACCTAGCAATGGGTAAATGCAAGAGGCTCCACATCCTAACAAACATACAAACATAAACATATATATATATATACACTAACATATGAACTTTATGTTCAAATACATACATACACTAATTGTCTAAGTAAAGTTCAATTTTCAAAAACAGACTTGAAACTTACCAATATCAATGCCAGATGCACTTTTATTCAAACATCCAGTTAAATCCTCTATCCAATGTATATAATTTAGCCTAAGCGGAATTGTGGGAATCAAACGATCTAATGGGATATCAATGATGATATTAAAGTATTTTTTTAAGAGAACTAAAGAGAGACTACGCAAAGAAGCTGGATCTTTGAAGTTAACATAAGCTTTACCAGAACTTCCAATATGAACATAAGGCGCAAATTCAGGATATTCTAACATTAACCTCTTAAAATCGGGAGGAGAGTCTTTAAAGACATTCCTGTTGTGCATAATCAAAATTGTTGATAGTTAATTTACTTTTACTTCAATTTTTTTTTATTTCAAATTTTACTTTTTATTTCAAGTTAATTTCTTTTATTTATGTTTGCAACCAAACTTATTGAATTGCAATAAAAAATAATAATAATAAATTCAAAAGTAATAAAGATGTAAATACAAAATTAGATTAAATACAGAATATATATTAAAAAGAAAAAGAAAAATACAAAAGACATTCAATTAACTTCTTGACAAATAGACTACCTATATTAGAAATCAATATTAAAAGTAAATTTAAGATGTAGTTACTGAAAAATCATAAGAATTAACTTTGGTCTCAATTAAATGTTAAAAATGAAGGTGTTCTTTCAATAAAATATTGATTAATTTTGTTATGATCAATATCAAATTATATAATTTCAATATAAAAAGTGAAAAAGAAAAAGAAACTAAAAACATTAGAAAAATAAAATATATATATATATAGCAAAAAAAAAAAAAAAAAATAATGTCAATATTTTATTCTATACTGTTGTTATCATGACATTTATTGAATAACAAAAAGTCAATCAAATTGCAAAGACCTATAAAAAAAAAAACTATCTCTTTTAGCTTAAATTCTTAGTTTTCTGCAAATAAAATGGAATCATAAAATAATGATTTAAAAGGAATGCCTAAACATATTGCCAAAGAATTATCATTTACAGGTTCTCAAAAAATTTTTAGAGAGAAATATAATGCAACTTTTTCCAGAAGTTTCTGTAAGGCAGAAACTTCTAGTAAAAGTAACTATTATAATCCCTTTAACTGAGCCAATTATAAATTATGCAAAAAGGCATATCATATTATTGGCTTACATGTGTACAAAGGATTCTTTTGGTTTAAATACAGGCTGTTTTTAAAAGACACAAGTTTTATTGCTAACATTTTGGTAAACAAGTTGTTTTTCTCAATTACATTTACCTCATCAAGCCTTCAGAAAAGGCCACTACAATTTAGGAGGTTTTTGAATTTTTTTTTTGAATTTTCTTAAAATTTTTTATATGCTCTTTTGATTACATTTATATTTTTATTTAAAAGTATAAAAGCCTCACTCAACCCTAAACTCCTAGTTTATTAAGCTACTGCACAAAAAAACAGGTTTATACAAGTGAATCTGCTGCCTAAAAAATCAAAACTCTTAACTCAATTAAAATCAAAGATTTATCAAATTGTTATCAAATTGTGAGGGTTAAAAAGAATTATTTTCAGGAAACAGATTTTAATCCAAATATAATCATTATCAGGTTGTAATTTTGTATATTTTCATACTTAAATTCAATAAATATGAAAAAACTTTTTTTTCTTAAAAATAAACTTTTTTTTCCATGCTTTTAATAAAAAAATTATTATTTTTTTAAATTTATATACCATTTTACTTTGTGTGTGTGTATTATATATGTGTATATATATATAATACTCACACACACACATATATATACATGTATATATACGTACATACATATATATATATATATATATATATATATGTATATATATATATATATATATATATATATATATATATATATATATATATATATATATATATATATATATACGTGTGTGTGTGTGTGTGTGTGTGTGAACATATATATATATATATATATATATATATATATATATATAAATATATGTGTGTGTGTGTGTGTGAGTGTGTGTGTGTGTGTGTGTGTGTGTGAATATATATATATATATATATATATATATATATATATATATATATATATATATATATATATATATATATATATATATATATATATATATATATATATATAAATATATGTGTGTGTGTGTGTGTGAGTGTGTGTGTGTGTGTGTGTGTGTGTGTGTGTGAATATATATATATATATATATATATATATATATATATATATATATATATATATATATATACGTGTGTGTGTGTGTGTGTGTGTGAACATATATATATATATATATATATATATATATATAAATATATGTGTGTGTGTGTGTGTGTGAGTGTGAGTGTGTGTGTGTGTGTGTGTGTGTGTGAATATATATATATATATATATATATATATATATATATATATATATATATATATATATATAAATATATGTGTGTGTGTGTGTGTGTGTGAGTGTGTGTGTGTGTGTGTGTGTGTGTGTGTGTGTGTGTGTGTGAATATATATATATATATATATATATATATATATATATATATATATATATATA